AAACACATGACGGAGACGAAAAGAAGGACAAGGGTACCTACCGTTCCGAAGAAGGTATTGTTCCTAAAGTTACAATTCTTAAATGATGCTATGGAAGAAATCTTGACACAGAGGTTAAGAAGGGCAGTACAGAAAACATTTAATGCAGCCCGATCGAGTACCGTCTTCTACAACCGCCCCAAGTCAAGAACTGTTAATAAAGACAGATTACCTGAATTCGCCACATCTATGTGTATTTACCAATTCAACTGCTCCTGTGGAGCCAGCTATACAGGGTGTGCAATTCGGCAAGTTCTTCAATGAATAACAGAGCACCATCCGTCGTGGTTAAGTAAAGGACAAGCAAAGGTGATTAAGAGTTCTATTCTCGCTCACTTGGTGGACACAGGTCATCAGGTTGTACTGAATAAAGCTTTTAAAGTTATCTACCATATTCCATCAAATTCGCCACATGGTTTACGAGCTCGTCTATTACACATAGCTGAAGCCATAGCAATTCATATTCAAAAACCGAACCTTTGTATCCAAAAGAAGTTTGTACAACCACTCTCGCAACTTTGGCCATCGGTATAGCGGAGTTTGTAGCGTAATTTCGGTAAACAATTATCTTATTCCTTCCATTTTTGTATTTTTGTATTCTACTTATTCTTTACATTCGTCTCTTGATTCTTACATAACTACTATATTACTGACCATTCATCAAAATATTTTGTTAGTTCTTTCAGTCTTCAGTCTTCAGTCTTCAGTCTTCAGTCTTCAGTAATAAGGATAGTAGGTTGATGAACCTGTGTTAATCCTGACAGATTTCCTTCCAGTGAAGGTCCAGCTTCTTTTTGAAAATGTTCACTGATGGTGCTGATACCACTTGTTCTGGTAAAGCGTTCCAGTCATTGACCACTCGATGAGAAAAACGGGACCCCACCTTTAGTTTATTAGATCGCGGTTTCAGAACCTTCTTGCTATGACCCCGGAGATTATTAGTGCTGGAGGGAGCAAAAAGGTAAGACATATTAACACCCAGATCATAATTAAAGATACGAAATGCCAGTATAAGGTCACCTCGCGTCCTACGATAAGATAAGGGGAAAAGATTTAGACGTTTTAAACGCTCATCGTAAGGGAGTTTGGAAAGACCCTTTACTAATTTTGTCCCTACACGCTGGACACGCTCAAGCGATTTAGTATCCTTTATCAGACAAGGGCTAGCTGCTTGGATACAGTATTCTAAGTGTGGCCTTACATAGGTGGGATATAAAATTCGAAACATATCCTCGTCAAAGCATTTAAATGCTCTGCGAAGCGACCATAGCGCGCGATAGCCTTTGGAAGCAACCGCACTGCAGTGCGTAGTAGTTTTTAAGTCGTGACTTATAATTACTCCTAAGTCTTTATGCGTATGAACGCGTGGCAGAGATGTACCATTAATGGTATAGTGGTAACTAATATCGTGCCCGATGTGCATGAACACGCTCTTCCTGAAATTAACTTCCAGGCCCCAATCATGAGCCCACCTAACTAATTCGTCTAAATCTGCTTGTAGATAACAACGATCAATCTCATTTCTTATTGTTCTCCAGATTTTAACATCATCCGCAAACAATAACGTCGACGACTTCAGTAATAAAGGTAGTTCATTAATATACAGAAGGAAAAGTAAAGGGCCCAAGATGGTGCCTTGGGGTACACCACTTTTGACCGGTTTCCATTCGGATAGAGTTCCATTGACTCTCACTCTCTGTCTGCGGTCACATAAGAAGCTTCCTATCCATTCCTGTATAGCACCTGTTATACCAAAGCTCGAGAGCTTTTGCATGAGACCTAAGTGTGAAACCTTATCAAACGCTTTGCTAAAATCTATAAATATCACGTCGACAGACTGGCCGTTGTCTAGTGCAGCTGTCCAATCCTCTCTCGCAATGAGTAAGTTAGTCAAGCATGAATGCTTGTTACGAAACCCATGTTGCTCGGGAGTTAACAGATTGTACGAATCTATGTGGCTCAGTAGCTTAGCCCGAATTAATTTTTCAAGTAACTTAACTACTATACTGGTCAGGCTAACAGGCCGGTAGTTAGATACTATCCGTCTCTGACCATCCTTAAATATAGGACTAACTATGGCGTCTTTCCAGTCTCTAGGTAGTTGAGCCTGTGAAAGGGACATGTTGAAGAGCATCGTGAGCGGTCTTGAGATAATGTCCGCAAGCGACGACAGCAAACGTGGGTGTAACCCATCGGGGCCCGGTATCTTACAAGGTTTTAGGTTAGTTATCAAAGGAAGAACTATATCCTCTGTCACGTGTAAGGGTCCTATGGCTGGTATCTCATTGTCAACGGGACAAGTAGTTGTAACACTACACGTAGAGTAGACTTCACTGAAATAGTTAGCAAATAACTCCGCTTTCGCCAGATCAGATTCAGCCAATAAAGCTGAATTTTCGCTTAACAGTAATGAGGGGATGCCATCACTCCGTTTCGTCCGCCTTTTAACGTACGAAAACAGGTGCTTCGGACAGGTACGGCTATCGTATGCCAACTGTCGTTCGTAAGCCGTGCGGGATTTAGCTATGGTCTTTTTACATATATTCCGGATTTTTTTATATTCGCACTTAAATGATGCCTGACCTGTTGACAAGAATAAGTCCCAGAAGTGTTTCCTACGCTTCAACAGCTTCCGGGTTTCCTTATTAATCCATGGAGGGCAATATGATAATTTACGTGCTGACCATGGGATAAACGGCTGAGTTACGGATTCGAACGTAGACTTAAACCTATTCCATGCATCATCAATCGATCCATCAGCATCGACCGACCAGTCAATTGAGATAGCATAGTCCCTGATTGCCGGAATATTAGCTCTCCAGATATTAGGACGGGGTGGAGCAGATGCAAATTCTATACCATGTATCCGGAACTTAAAGGAAAGTACGACATGGTCACTATTCACCAGTGGGGGAAGATGTTGAATGTCAACGATATCTTCAGAGTGGTGTGTGAGGACAAGGTCTATCAATGACGGATTATGTTCCAAGTCTATATGTGTTGGCTTAACGATACATTGTACAAGCGCACATTGAATAATTGATGACAGAAGGACGCTATCGAAACCCCCACCTGGAGCTGTGAGCTCTATCCAGTTTATATGGGGTGCATTGAAATCTCCAACGATGAGACAACATTCTGCTTTACTCCAAGAACAGACGTGTTTTAGGATAAAGTCGTCAGCGAGACAACACGGACTACGATATATTCCTCCTATCGTCACTAACCCGTTTCTAGACCTAATTGTACAACATACTACCTCACACGTACCACTTACATGCGCCTCCGATATGATCGAGTTAATGCGGAAGTGGTCCCTAATATATAATATTATGCCTCCTCCCTTGCGACTTCTAACTCTATCACTTCTGACACAGATGTAGCCTGAAATGACTGGAGAACAGTCTATATCTACAGTGAGCCAAGATTCGGTGATAACAATTATATCCGGATTTAAGTCGTCTACCATCAAACTTAGTTCAGACATCTTATTCCGAAGACTACGAGCATTCGTATAACACACATTTAGGGTGTTTTTGGAGACATGCGTTCTACCCACACAGGTCTCGGAAGCATTGGCTTCCAAGACCTTTTATATATTATGCAACGTAGTAACAGCTTGATTTTGGAATAATAACTTTGATTAGTATTAATCCTTCGCTTTCAATTAATGTTACTTTACAATTGTATTTGCTAATAAACGAACCAGCTACTCCTATTGCTTAGTATTTTTATCCAATGACACTCGACAAGACCCCAAATCAGAACACACTGAACAAGAAAGAAATTGTATTCAAAATAACAATGGTAGGTGAACAGCAATCAATGGTTAGAAAAACGTTCATATATTTATAGTATATGCATAAGAAGCTTCTAGATTTTTCTCCAATAATTTGCCAGGGCTGGTTGGTTTAGAATTAGCCAATCAGCGCGCGCCATCACGATCATGCCCGTAACATGCCTTAATCCGGTCTATTTCCCACTAACAGTAGTATAATAAGTACTTGAGCTATAATGTAATAATCTTGACAGGAAGTTCGCTGTTTAACAAACTCTTTCCAAAAGGTCAAAGGCTTTTCCTGACCTTGTAGCCTAGTGAAGAAATTAAGGTATAAGCTTAACAGCCCCCATCAACTCAAATTCTATAAACCTGAACAAGAAGTTGAGGAACACAATCTTTCACCTGTTACAAAGTCTCTTGTGTCAATAGGGTGTGCTCTTTAGTACAGCACAGAGTGAGACCGTTAGGTTTATAGGCGTTTTCCTCATTGCATAACTTTACTTAACTCACGATTCCGGTTTGGCCTAATAAAAAGATTGATGCTTTATATCTACCCCAGACCTGTATGAGATTTTTCTTGGTTATGTGAGCGTCCAATTAAGTGCCCGCTAAAACTAAGTTCAACATCCTTATCAAAAGGCCACCGTGCCACTTATTTTAGGGAGTCACTTACCTTTATATCTTAATTTTAATAACTTGAGACTGAAAACACCAATATGTTATTCAGTAGATAAAGAAAAACACATGTGGTAGACATACTGATGTTGTGACCGAAGCAGATGTCGAGTCCCTGTTTGAGGAAGACAAGGAAAAGTGTAGTCACCTTTGGGAGCTGCTTTTCAGTGCCCAGATATACATTACAAAGAACATATGACATATTTAAGCATATATTCCCCCATGTTCTAAGGTTATATGATTTACTTGTCGGTGTAGGTTAGTACTAAAGCACAAAAAGGTCTTCTGGGATGACGAAAACTGTGAGTACCTCCATGCAATAAGATCACGTTCATTTTTATCCATACGTACTGCACGGGCGTCTAATTTGGTACTTCCAGGAGAGCTTGTATATGTTAATCCCTTACTCCAAGTATCTTTTTGGTTGCTCTAATCCATACTCTTTTTATGGGAGGATGGTTTTCTTCTTGAGGTAAGAGGAACTTACAGAGAATCAATTTCAAAAATGAATTTCCAAGTATGTGGAGAATATGTTTCCGAACAGTTCTCAGGTAAAAACAGTCAAATTTCTGTAGCGAAACATCATGGCACAGTGGATTGGTTTCGTAACAGAGTACTGAGACTAAAAAACAACTTGATATATAAGATACTTATCAAGTCTTCACTCAGAATGGAGAGTGTGAAGATACGATCAGTATTCTAGTTTGACAACTATTAACCAGTAACACCTTCTATATTCGAATCGTTCCCCATTGGGGTGAAATCAGAAGTCAGATGCGAAAAGGTAGGAAAGATATATTTGATGCCTTATCAATATATCGAGGAGCGGTTACTCTAATCTGGCTAGTGAGCGTGGGAGCTGTTTCTCACGCTGAGTTGTAACGTGATCTGGTGCGGATGCATAAGCGAACGCCTTTAGTTAAACAACTTCACTTAAAACAATGTGGTCAGCATCCAATGACGAACACTTAAAGAGCTATTGATTTTGGGGAATTATTTACAACTACAGGCGTTTATTAACACGCTGCAAAAGTAGCATTTAGCCATGTTAAAAAAGTGAATGAGTTTATAATCCAAAATCTGTATTTTCTGAAGACTTCTTGCGGCGCTATACTGCCACAAGAATATTAAATTTCTCCACAAATAGCAGGATCATTTGCACATAGTACAACTTGATAACCACAATTAATAGGTCGGCCTATGAATCGCATCTTTTGGTTCTGCAATTAATGTAGTGGAAATTAGACGATAATGTGAACTTTTGGATGACTTATGATATCCTAGTTAGATGGTCCTGTACTAACTTAACTAGTCACTCGCTAAAACCCAGACTTCAATTTAGTTAGAAATGTCTATGTTCTGTTCTGATAGCCTTGGAATTCAGTGCACATTTTAGTGACCCAAATTGGGTCCAACTAGTTCGTTTAGTAAAAAGCATTGACTTTTGAGATTCGGACTATTATTATGCTTTTTTGGTTAATCCATGGTCCATAGCCAGTGAATATTATTCGAAGATATTGGCGCTCATTTCCCGCCGTGCGTGTCATCTCAAAGTGTCGAGGGAATCAGTTTATGTCCTGCAAACCAAATAACCCTTGTAAGTAGTCTAAGTGGTTTTTAGGGTGCTGTCCATCATCCTTTTTATGCCTAGCGTAACCATTTTTTACTACTTATACGGAAGTTCATTCAAGTTGTGATGCAAACTACATTAGGACACAGCACATTGAGTTTTGATTACCCTTTCGACCAAAAACTTTTAATTTTGGTATTTTGTGTACCCGTCAGCCAATAGTAGCTTTTAACATTTCAAGGTAACCCAAAATCTATAACAAAATTTAGAACATCAAATAATTATCTGTCATTCGATCATCGATATTTAGTCGAAAGCATATGCTTTCAAATAATGGTTGGTTATGTATGAATTTATAACTATAATATGATATTTGTATGATATTTCAGCAAGCATTTACAAGAGTTTTGAAATCCTACTCAATACTACCGTCTGACAGTCGTCCAGGTAGGATTAAACTATATTGCCGACCTTTGAACGAATCCTAAATGACCTTGAGAAATATAAGCCAATCAGAAGACAGTATACAGTAAAAATATATTATACAAAACCAAAGAATTAAAGTGGAAACACTTCTTCTACATGGGTCAAAAACTTCAGATATAGGTTCAGATGTTCTAAAATCATAGTGCATACGGTACAGGAACACATTCATATGGCTCCATAGTAGTCGACCTCTGAAACCATGATAAGGTCTCAAATTCTTTTAGCCTCGACCACATAGCTTCAATAATGTTCGTATATTGGTATGGTTTACGGGTTAGGGTTAGAGTTAAGGTTTAGGTGTAGGGTTTAGGGTTATGGGTGAGACTATAAGTTATGGACAATCTTTGAGCGACGCTAGAGTGACTCTGAGAGTGTCAACATAACTAAGACCAAATGAGTGTTATAAACCTGTGTGAAGAATTCAAATTATGATTTACAGTTCATGATTAAGGCTAGGAATTATATTTAGGGTTTTCATCACGAACTATAATGCCAAAACTCTATTTATCCAAATGGGTAATTGAATTTCGCGCCAAAATCTTATGATCACTTCTCTTGTAGACGCTGAATTATCACGTCTTCCCTAAAATCCGCTGTAAGCCGTCCGTACGTAAGCATCAGGTACCGAGCTTAGCTCCGTGACCTTGAAAACCCGCGAAAGCTTCTGATTGGCTCGAAAGTGTAGTTTAATCCTACCGTCCTCCAAATAATTATATTGATGTTTTTCTTATCTTAAGCTTTCATCATTTGTTTTCTAGGCTTTTATGGATATAAAACACCTTACTGGTGAAGATAAGCTCAAACTCAGTCGTACATACTTCTTTGGTAGGTTATTCTAGTTTTCGAAAATCCAATTTTGTTACTAGCCGGAATCGGATTTCTTCCTTTCCTCTGGTGGATTAACGTTTTCTGTTTTCTAAAAGAGTTGTCTGCCCCACAGGCATATCCAGAATATAAACTGATTAGGAAATGTACCGAAATATTTTATTAAAACTTCATTTGTAGACGTCACTTTCAGTTTAATTGGAGCATTGTCTTGGACAGTTGTCTTTGTCGTTTGGATTGTTACTTTCCTAAATTTCCGGGTTAGCTGGGGTGAATTGGGGGATCGTTTGTCGTTTAACATACCACCTGGTAGACTGTAATGAAAATATCACTGAGGGATAATGAATGCCCTCCCAACGGGTCTGTTTGGGAGGTTACAGAATTGCTAGCTGAGGATGCTGTCATTGGCGAAACCCCTTGTATTTACACTTCTTCATCTGGATCTCGGCATATCTTCATATCTACAAAGTCTGGATTTATGGTAATGTACAAATAAAGAAATTATGCCTTTTGTAGAGCCAGGTGCTTTACATAAGTCGTCACGTGGATCGTTTATTATATAAATATCATAGTTCATCTCAATTTGATCCCTCAAAACCATCTGAATTTTGGATTCACGGTATAGGACCGCTTAGTATTATGAGGACAGCTGAGCTGGCTCTACATTTAAGTCATCGGCTGTACCCTGGGCACCTCAAAATATCAACTTACACGAGTAGCTGTTCAACTAAGAAACATGTGAGTCGATATTTCCTGAAGTTTTTATCAGCACTTAGTTTGTGAAGTACATTTTATTCTGAAATTTTCAGTCCAGAAGTAAAAGCACCGTGTTCAATGGATTTCCAAAACCAATAAAATCATGCCAAACGTCTTTTAAGATATTTTTTATGCATCTTATTTTCCAGATTATATCTCAAGTAGAAAATGAAAAAAATTCAATACGAGAAGAATCGCGGACCAAAGGTGCTATTCATGTCCATATCCGCTTGGTCCCCACACGCAATGCTGAGACGATTCCATAAATTATAAGAATGCCTAGATAAAATGTATCATTTCGCACCTCCACTTTATATTTTCATTATCCCAATGGTACCTAAATGCTATAATGTATATTATGAGTCAAATAAATGGCAAATCTGACTCTCTGTTCTCATTTAACCTTAAATATTTGTTTGCTTGTTCACTGATTCTGATAATATTCTGTTTACGTAAAGCAAAACTTCCGAAGACTTTTTGCCTTATTATTTTATATTGTATCTTTATTGAGGCCCTTATATTCAACGGTCTTCGTAACTACTTGTTATCCATAAACTTTTTTTTACTCTAACAACGCAGGCTGGCTTTGGTTCGTTTTTTACCCTGTCTTCAGTTGTTATATCTTGTAGTCGCTCATTAGAATACAGTGAACTATCGGTTAGATCAATGACACACGCAACCCGTACGAGCAGTCTAGAGTACTTATCGATCCTGCTTCCTGCCTAGCCAAGCCAGTTAAGTCCAGTACACCAATCTCAGCCCCTTCAATATGAATCATTCATCTCAAACTTATAGGGTTTACGTACCAACTAGACAGATCACAGCGTACCATAAAATAGAAAATAACGTTTGTACAAGATTTAGCCAAAAGTGGCTGTAAATAGAGGGAACAGCAATTAATAGACTGGGTATAACTCAGGAATGGTAAATCGTGTAATAATAGTTCATAAGTCAAAACAAAGCTTATGATAAGAGGAACACGAATATAAATAGTTCAGTTATATAGCGATTATACGATAAAAATATATGCACAATATTGGTCCATAAATGGATCCTAAAAGGTTACCTTTCATTATTCTTATCGGGACATAACAGATCGAAAGGGACAGGTTGATGCCATATACCTTGAATTCTGAAGAGCTTTTGATCGAGTCAATCACCTATGTCTCATCAGTAAGCTCAAAATGCTAGGCACTAAGTCACCGTCAATAGGTTGGTTTACGTAATGTTTAAGTAATAGACTTTTTAGGGTTAGGGTAAGCTTCTCTTTTTCTTAGGCTACAAAATTTCCTAGTGAAGTTATCCATGGTTCAGTTCTGGGACTTATTCTTAATTTATATAATTGACCTTCCAGGACAAGTGTCGTCTGATTTATTAGTTTTTTGCTATGTGAAACTTTGGAGAGAAGTTTGCAACCAAGAGGATAATCTGGGACTTCTGGAGGATCTGATTCACCCTCAAATTTGAGCAGATAAAAATTGACTTACTTTTAGCACCTCAAAGTGTAAAATAGTTTATTCGAGACATGCTTCAGAATACACGTATAACTTAGGTACCTCGCTTCTAGAGGTATCACAGGTTTAAGATGATCTCGGATTTTTGGTACATCATGATCTATATTCTTACGCTAGCTGCGACAAAAATGTCTTTCAAGCAAATCTTTCACTGGTAACATATATATATATAGGTTTATATTCAAAGCCTCCACGATGGTTATGCTTCTAGTGTAGGGTTTCTTGGAATTTTTATAGCCTTAGTTAATCTCTCTTTTTGTCACTTAGGTTTTCGTAAAATCATTGTGTTCAAGTCGTATTCACAATAAGTCATTCTATGAGACTTAAATCATTCCACACTAAAGGATGTTCAGAGGCAGTATATCAGATTGTATCAGTGAAATACTTTAATGTTTCTGTGATCCGGCCAAAAACATAATATTAGGTCCGCATCTCTTATATGATAATTTGTAAGTAGAATAAACCGTTTAAAGGTAAAGTTCCCAGTTGTTTTTTTAAATAGTTCTGAATTTGAACAATAAAATCACAACAAACACATCTGCTGAGTTTTAAAGTAAGTTTTGTTTGATGATAAACTCAGTATTTGAATAAGTTAGAAAGCTGTAGATTTATTTATATTTATTTCCATTCTTTAATTTATAAGCATTCGACCGAAACTTCATTTTCTACGAAGCATATTCAACGAGTAAAGCAGCCCGAATTGTGGTGAACTGCTGAAAGTATAGTAGACAAAATTTGATTTATCGCTTATATTCAACTCCCAAGCTTTGAGCGTTAGTATTCAATAAGAAATCGTGAACCAACTAAAACAACATTGTGGGAAATCTTAGCGTTTGATGTATTGTCAGTAGTCGTAAAGAAAACTGTCAAGTCAAGCTGATGGAGAAATTCCCCAGTTATCTTACTGTTGTGGAGAGAAAGCCGAATAAACAGAGCTAGAATTCCTTTTTTAAGCATAGTATTTATTCTGACTGGTATCGGTTCAATATAGATAAAGATAACCAGAAGTAGAATCCGTCGAGCTGAAGACGATTCTGATGTATGTCTCGTCCATCACAACCCTCGGCTATATCGAGGCACACTCCCAGACAATTGGGAGCTGATACACGTTACATCGATTTTCAAAGGAGACCGGCGCAGTGGGCCTTCAAGCTACCGGACGGTAGCTTTCCTCTCAATACCCTCATAAATTTTTTAGTACTCAAGCCATGTAATCCGCATTTAATCAGTTGGCAATCAGTATTCGCAGGTATGGCATGTGCTGTGCGCCTTGTAGATAAAAAGTACTCCCACAAGACTCAAAGGACCCTGATTCTGCACTCACTCTTGGGTGGTGAGCAGATAGAAGTAGTTGAGAAGTTTGTGTATCTGGGTAGCTGCATAAGTGCTGGTGTTGGCGTGAATTGTGAGACCAATTCACGTATGCTGAAAGTCAGAGCAGCTTGTACCAATTTGGAGCCTCAAATGCCCTGGTCCTGCCGAGGATGGGGAGAGTCAGCTCCCCCTCTCAAAGTGCTTTCACAAGGCCATGTGCATGCAGCCACTGACACAGAAGTCCCACTCACTTCTCTCGACGAGGGTGTTGTTTACAAAATTGAGAGGACGAAAAACGAATGTCGGGCGCCTTAATCGGGTTGGTAGATATTGAGAATCCACGTAGAGGTTTTGGTAAACTATGATTCCAAACCAATGGTGCGCATGAGTTCCAGAATCCTGAGGGAACAAATGGGTATGAACCAATTATTGGTCACCGGCTGCCATAAGAGTGCATTTCCTAAGTGACTGTAGCGCAAATGTATTCCATGTTCGTTTGTATCAATATTTATGTGTTCAAATAAATGCCAATCTGGGCCATCTTTAAAGCCTTCATGATGCTAGTCTGACTGTAAAAGGTCGGATCCACAACTCATCGATGGGAGCAGTTTTGCTCTTTGCTTGTGAAACCTGGCCTCTCCGAGTTGAAGAGCTTAGGTGACTCTATGTTTGATCATTGTTGTCTCTTAAGGATAGCTGACATCTGGTGACAACACCATGTTAGTAATGCAGAGGTTCAGCGTCGTGTGTTCGGGGACGGAGACGATAATTTAATTAGTGTCACTATCTTGAGAAATCGAATTCTGTGGCTTGGAAATTTCCTACGAATGTCGTCCCAGAGAATTCCACATTGTGCATTATTTGTCGACGCTGGGACTGGTTGGAAAAAGAGGAGAGGTAGTCAGTTTATGACATGGTGTCGTGGTATGAAAGAAAGCTGTACAGGACTGGGGAGTTTATCTCACCTTTAGTAAATAATATAAAATAAAACTACAGCAGAATCGTCAATGTCTCATACTCAGAGACACGTTTGATGACATCTCAAGCCACTGAGTTTCACCATCTTTAGGTTCCCAATCAGAATATTGTCATGAATCGACAGGTACCAGTCGTACACAGCTTTCTTTCATATCACGGCGGTATACCATAAACTGGTCACTGCTTTTTCCACCGCTTCCTGGTGTTGGCAAATACTACACAATATAGAGGCCACTGGGACGTCTGTGGTATATATCCAAGCCACCAAAGCCGATGTTTGAAGACAGTGATGCCAATTAAGTCATCATCACTGTCCCTGAACACAAGTACATAGATGCAGCAACTTTTCGGCTACATCTGGTGACTCATTACCAAGAGTGAGTACAGGTACAGGCCACTACCAATGTTGTAAAAGTAGCTTGTATTCAGGTTTAAAATGCATATCATAACCATGGATGCTAATTGGCAATCCACCAAGTGCGATTTTCATAGATCGCGTATCATCACATACCAAGCCAATATCACCCGTCTTCTAAAAATCGAAAAGTCTTCCTCAGGATAACAGATTTACACCATTACCATCTACTTACATCAGTTGTTTCCAGAAACGTCATCGATTGTAAAGTTGAAGACGAATAGTGGAATTCGATAATTCTGTCTAATCACACTGCTTAGATAAAAAGTTGTAGGAAATTGGTTGTACGCCCTTACTCTGCTTCAGGTGTTTATGCAAAGAGCCTTTAAGATTTTAGTAAACTCAAGCACACCATCCAGCAGAAACTAGTCCTATTCAACAAATAGAAAGCAGCCCATATATCAAGAAGCATAACAGTTGTTGGCCTGGGATCTTAATTCATTTAAACAGACTCAACAAATCTTATTTTTGAAGGTAAATTTCAGGGCTAATGCACACCCAGAAACAATATGGGTCTGTCATGGTCTTTCAACTCATCATTAGTACTTAAGCATGTTTAAAGGCTCTGTTTTGAACGACAAACAGTCCACAAACTTTTTTTTGAGTTTTAGATCTAGTTTCATATATTTCCATACTTGTGTCGATACACTTTATTGTTAATACAAGCTTGTATCAAAAGTTTGTTCTCGGTAATGACCCCCAAACTTATTATCACCAATCCTTATGACTTAGGAAAAGTCATCTCGACAAGTAATTGTCATCACTTTTCAGTGGAATTGAACATCATTAAGAATATGAATCATGCAAATAGAATGTAGTTCTTTGACTGGAAGTTATCTATCCGATCATCTTTTTCTATATTAAATCGGTCAACTTTGCTTGGACTGTCTTGGTTGGCCACTTTTGACGAATGCTTGTAAGAGACGTCAGAGTAATGACGAGGTAAGATAGGGCTTCATAACTCCTCTACCATCTTACTGACGAGCGTTATTTGACGTGAAAGTGATGATCTTTTTTACTTATGTTCGTGTTAAAGATGAAACTATTCCTCCTCTTTACTTAAATTCATACAATAACTTTGTGTGAACTATGGTTTAATGTTCACAACCGCTGTTCTTTGGAACAAAAGTAACGTTCTTCTATCTTCGCTTATACTTTTTTTTTTAGATTAGATTTATAATGTTCAAGTTTAGTTTTCTGCGGCTTTATTCATATTCATGCATAAAGCGAGTCATAAGCTTCAGGTGAACTGGTACCTCCTTACTGACTGTGTTTACCCACGTTTCTTTGGGAATATTCCTAAATCAGTGTTTTGATAGTTTGTGCTGTTTATTTGGGTCTTTACTTTGAGTGATAAGTTATTTTTATCAAGAGAATTGTCAGATAATGTTAAGGTTCTAAAAATAGTAAATACTTTCACAAAAGTACCTGACTTCCAGTTGTTGGTTCACTGATAGTAGCTTTTAGTTAGAGATCGCTGTCATTTCTTGGGAATTCGCACTGTCTCAATATCAAGACATCAATTAATTATGAGAAAGAACTGTCAAGAGTGTATGGAAAGTTTTGAGAATGAAATAATGTTAAAACTATTATACCAAGCTGTATATTATTATTTTACATCGTACATTTGAAATCTTCCATATACACCACTTTTAAGATAACTAGTGTTGGAATATATACTGTTGATGACTAATTCTAGCTTGGCTTATATACAATAGGTTAAATCATGTTTTATAAATGTAACTATTGTGGTCTTAAGTTCCTCTCCCCCGTATTATTAATATCATTAGGAAATAATGTTTTTTTTTATAATCACTTTCAGAGACTACTGTTATTCATCTAAATCTAACTTCCAATGACCGATGTCGGTACAAGTTTGATTTATTGGAATGAGAAAGAAATCCTACCAAGAGGTATTTTTCTTTCTTCCTCTGGATCTGGTGGAGATCGTCTTCTGTTTTGGCAATCGTTCCATGCTAACGATACCAGTAAATACAATCCTAAGAAAGGATATTGTACACGCAATGATGACTGCTCATCAGGGGTTGAGACTGTTAATAACCAGGAGTCCACGTTATCAAAGTACTGTGAATTGTGTCTGAATACAATTGTTACTTTATTCCTGTATACTTTTCGGATATGCAGAATTAGTATGTCTTTATTCATCGGTTGACTTTTATGTTGAGTACTCTGAATTGAATATCTAGCAATTTCAGCATAGTATCGAAATATTCGGTTTATAAGAAATATTCATTTTATTTGGAAATAGTTTTGCTCAATAAATGCGATTTGTTTAATAAGTGCTGAACACTAATTATCCATCGTTTAATTATCCCAGTTTAACTTTACTTTATGATCATTCCAAGTGTTTTTAAAAATTAGTTTGGTTTCGTGATGACAACCATTTTCATATATACTTAACTCTTGAGCAATTATTCCCATTACAATTAAGTTAAAAATAGTTTCCTACTTAATGTCATAAAATGAACCCTGGGTCTATTGAGAAATAAAATTTAAATGTTAGACGATTCATAAAGTATTTGGCGGTTTGGTCTGGATTTGATTTGTATAAATATTGCATTGGGCGGCCTATGCTCCTCCACGAGGGGTAACAGGCGTAAGTAATAAATTTTGAGTTAAAAGTATGTTGTAATGTATTAGGTCCATTTAAGTTATTTCTTTGTTTAATATTAATAAAACGAGACTTCGTTTGCGTTAACCTAAACTGAAGTTTACGTTTTTGATCAATTCGTTTTTATAATTTATAGACGTTATTTTTTGTTAGTAACAAGTCATCTTGCAGTTGATCCATGTGTTTTGCAATAGATAGTTTCTTTTCTTTGTGTGCTTATTCGATACGCAGTTTGTATATTTGTGGTATTTCTTCTGTATTCGGTGTTATCTGTTTCTTATCGTTTTTAATCACCAGTTTTTTATGGTCTTAACTTCGGATTTCATGTTTATCTGTTGTGTAAACATAACTTACCACCTGCTTTGTTTTTTTTTAACTCTGGATTTCGTTTCGATTATGCAGGGGCATTCAAGTATAACTTTTAAGTAGTCGGGCGTTTTTGGAAGATACACCGTGTATTTAGCATTTAAAAATTCCTGTCTTTTTAGTACTAATTAAAGTTATAAAAAATTGATTGTTTCTAAATATTAGATGTTTGATGCTGAGAGTAGTTTTTTGTCATACCATAGAGCTATTCACTTTTCTTTTTTTAAACTACTATTTTTTTCCTTGCTGACTATCTTTGATCTTTATTAACTTCTTTCTCCTGTGGCGTTATGAAATGAGAGTTTTAACTGATTCATTTTCTGCGAAATTCGGTTCTTACGATTAGAAATCAAACTCTAAAGTGTAGTTTATAACGTCATCTCCGAAATCTATATTTAATATCGTGTGGTCGATGTTTTTAAACTTTTGTATTCAACAGAAAACGGCACTTCGCTTCCATCATTGTCGATCAGTCGGTCCACCAGTCCCTATCTTTTCCATTTCGTCGGACAGCGCTCAAGCAACTGTCGATTGGGATCCAGTGCAGAAGAGCCTATTTCGCTTTCAAACTACGTACTTTACCTGCGCTAAAGAGCCCACAAGAAGTAGCAGTGGAGTGCACAGATAGAAAAAGGTTAAACCGTCCTAGTTTTTTCATATTGACAAGGTGAGGTCAGATTAATGACCATACTTGGATCTTGTATGTGCTTTACGAAGACGCACCATGTATCGATAATACGAGATTCTAGAGTTCTAGCTAAGGAAGCCTGTTGTCCTATTTGACACACGGTTCAAACATCCAAATCTCCAACATGTAGTTTACGAAGTGGTTTCAGGAGACCAGGAATAACATTTCGTGAACTCGAATCATTATCACTGATGGCGCTTGGTATTAAGGGTGTACAAGAAGGGTTAGTCGTGGAGATGGAAGAATTATTAAGAGGCTAGGGAGGGATTTCATCGCCAACATGATGGTCTCTGTTGCTGATAGAGGTATAAGAGTGGTTGTCACTTCCCGGTTGCCCACACTGTGTGAGGATATTTCTTCTTTAGGGATCTGATAAAGGGGTGGAATTAGCGGTAGCCTTAGCGACCTTGAACTTGACCGCAAAGCTCAAGGAACAACCGCTCGAGGCCGGTCGCACACGGCTTCTTTATGGAAAGTTTTTGATGTGTTAGCCCCTCACTTCAGAAGGCGGTGCCGCCGAAGACGGAAACCCGTGAGGTAAGGTGAGGTGTAACATATTTGGAATTGACCTATTCTAATCCCTTCTTTCCTTTGGGAGGAGATGGCGTCGATTGAGATACTGGTCGTTCAAGGGAAACACCTGCACATCCTTCTACGGCGAGCAGTGTGACTTCTCCCCCGATTCTTAAGTTGCTACCATTAGTCTCACCGTTCTCCAGCCGACCTGCCTGGCATGTTACGATTTACAGGAACATGTGTTCCAGCCAATGTAGTTCGGTTGAATCACCATGATAAGCATGCCTAGCCACCACTTCGAGGTAGCAGCTATGGTTGGGCTCCTAATAATGATTGTTTGAGAAATTAATAAGAATTTTAAATTCGTTGAGAGAACTGAAAAAGCGTTTTCAAAAGAATACATTGGGTAGTACAAATGACTACATATAAGTCTTTGAATTTATTGTATTTGCATAGTGCTTAAGTAAATGATACCTTAAAACACCCGAAACCTTGTTTTATGCGTAGATTTCGAAACTACTATTTAATGGCAGAAAGTGTAGTGTCTAAGGCACTAAACTGTCACTTCACATAGAACTATTATTATTATTATTATTATTATTATTATTATTATTATTATTCAATCATTGTTTGCCAAAGTGGTTTTCAAACGATACATCTAACATTTCTCAACATTGTAGACTTCTTAGCTTCTTTTTCGTTTGCCTTTACATTGAGAACAGCTCATTCTACATTTCCTTAAAATTCACGTTTAATTTCTAACGGTAAATTTAACTTTATGAAAGGTAATATTAACCAGTTTGTTTATTTATTAGTGTAAGCATAACAATGATTTGAGAAAATGAATCGAAGCAAGAAAATAGCTTGTATAGATATACTTTATTGATAAGTCCGTTCTTATTTTGAGTAGTTCGTGATTCATCTGAAAATAGATTATTTTGTACCTTGGAACTACACTTGACGGGATGAAAACTCTTACATATAATAACTCCCTAATTTGTTCGTCCTAATTACCATATATATATGAATAATCTTTCTTATTTTATTTGTTTAACTGACGACAGTCGTTTCATGTCCATTGATGGTAATATAGAAATTATTGTTTCACTAATTTTCTGTGACTGTAAATATTCTGTTTTTTCTGTTGTCATAAAATTATTTCTCTACGATGGTTGCCTCTTCAGGGGTCCTACATCTGTTGAGAGTTCAACCACAGAGGCTATTGCCCCTAGTCCCAAATTAAAAAATACGAGTCATATTCGAGGTCATAAAAATAGTGAAAACCCATTCGCACTCAGTGTAAGTACTATCATCCTCTTTCACTTTTGTATATTATATATTAAACAATAAACTTTATAGATTATTTTATGATTAACTGAGGTTATCTTTATTGATTGAAATGATAGCGAATGCCTTTGATTGCGTCACACATACCACGTACACAATTTTTAATTGTGAAAAATTGCCGACGCAATACTTCTTTATTTACACTGATGCTTGATTACTGTGATTACAAGAGACAGGAATGCAGTTGATTTTTATTATCTCCGGCTTTCATACGTTGCACTAAATGAATACAGTATTCTATTGATAAAAATGTATGTTTATATGTAGTAGATATGTATTGTAAATTGATTAAAAATATACCAATTTACCAAAAGGGTAATGACAAGAAGTTATATTCAAATTCTAAAGATGCTGGTAGAGTTCATTATAACATTATGAAGCTGTTTGTACTAATGCATATTTTTTAAGTTCCGAATTCATTTCAGATTAGTGGTATTCAATATCAACTTGTTCCAACTGTGCTATACATGACTTTTTGTAATAAACCCAGGATTTTAATTATATATATATATATATATATATATATATATATATATATATATATATACCGAATTTCTTCCCGTTCAACCTAGTCATGGGTTAAGAACATCGGTTCAAAGGTGGATCAGCCACTCATCTAACGTTGAGCCTGGCACATATGAGCACCGGTTCAAGTTACCACATCCCATTATCACAATGAGATGCAATGTTCAAGTCAAATCCCAGAGTAGCAGTGTTGGTAACAGTATTAATGATAATAATAAAAGTTAAGCATATAAGATATTGTTTGATAAGTTAATATGGATCAGTGTAACGACGTTTTGTGGGGTAATTTGGAAGCTTATGACCTAAGGGAAAAGAATGACTGTACCTGAGCCATTAATAATGACTATGAACCACGTCGCCCAAAGTCTCTAACCATCGGTTATAGCAATCACGCTAACCTCAACCAGGTGGTCTACACCTACTAACATGGTTTTGTTCAACATTGTGACTTCATGGACCGATACCACGTTTCGGTTTGGCCTCCCCTACATTCCTTTGCGCATCAAGTTAGGCGTTGTGTTGGTAGCTGACTGACTGTCCGTGGGTTGGCATACGTAATGCATGTCTCAACAACCTCAGTTGATGTAAATTCACTACCTCACCATTCGATTTGTTAAATGGTGAACCTGATTCAATGTAGTGTTGTACTAAACTTTGCACTGTTCAGGCTGTCTGTCTGTTTATCTCTATTCAGCAAAAGGATGACCTAACGAACCTATTTATTTAAATTTTCGCACATATTTAATCTTCGATAGTGCTCACTTTTAGCTATTTGACAGTTTACTCACACTTTGTTAACATAGAGGCATCTTTGTTTTGTTAATTTTAAATCACTAGCTATACCTGCATTTATTATTCTCCTAGTTAATCTCTGAACGCACCATGTTTTTCAATGAAAGTAGTTTCGGGAATGGTCCTATCACTGGTGGGCTGAATCAAAATTTTATGGGCTCGGGAGATCGTACGTTAAATAATTGCCCAACTATTTGTTCAAATATCAACTCTAGTTTGTGTACTACGAGTTCATTATCTCCGAATAATCCAGCTGGGGGTATAACTGCAAATTTGTCCAATCCTAATATCGTTCTTGGAAGTCTTTATTCTACTGATCCATCATTGCAGGTTCCTTCTACTGAATCCCCTTTAATTGGAAATTTAGGAATTTCAAATATAGAAGGTATTCCAGCTAATGTATTACTCAGTCTTTTACATCAACAAACTCAGGCTCTCCAACGTAAAATATACATCAAGGTAATTTTAGCAGATTGTGATTACTATAGTATTATAGGAACATGTAACATCTAAAAACTTAAGGACATGATATTTTACCACATATGTACCATTAATTTGTTTTTCGGCTTATTTTTTAATCAAAGCTGTACACATACAACTATATTACATAAATAATTTGAAAAACAATTTTTCATGGGGCGAGGAATTATCTAACTTGTAGCGTAAGCAATGAATAGCTAGCAATATGGAAAGGAATTGTGATTTTAATCAAAATAAGAATGAAGGCTGGATCCACACTTCTGGAAAGTTCCAAACTAAAATAAAATATATGTTTAGTGTTATTTGGTCTCCAGTGTCTTCTCAACTGTTTCAAGTTCTTGAAAAATTCAAAAATCAAATAAATAAAGAGCATTGGACGATGTGGATACATACATCCAAAAACACCTGTAAAGCTAAGTGTGAAATGTTTCCATTACATTTTGTAAGAAAAAGAATAAATTCTTGTATGAACATTTCTTGACTACCTAACTTGAAGGTCGATCAGCAAGCGACACTGTAAATAAGTCAGGATTTAACAAATTTGTTTTTTTCGTTACTGTAGTTTTGTCTTTTTTCCTTGAAAATTACTATTTGTCTCTATAGTTTCTCTCATTTATTTGTAAACATTTCTTGGTTTGTATAATTTTCAAAGTTAGACCACAATATATTTATTGGAGCTGCATTTAATTTATCCCCGTCTGATATCGAAACCATCGGTCTTATTGAAGATACTGAAGATTGTAACACCAAAAGTTGTGATAACGAGTTATCACGGACAACTATGATTAGTTTCACTGTTGGTTTTTTGATGGATTCGTCTGCACCTCCATCTGTTTTGTCTTATCTTACTGAATTATCCAGACTGGTGAGTGACTGTTGTTGGTTTTATTTATCGTCTAATCATTTTATTCGCCAAGCCTTTTGTACTTACTCTTATTTATTAACTAAGATTTTTTAGAGTTATATTACTCTGTAACAGTAAACAACGATAGCTCATTCAGGCGTTGAACTTCATAATAATTTAATTATAGATCGACATCACATAGAGAGTTACTGAAAATTAGAAAGAACTGGATATCTGTTTTGCTTTAATTTCTAACTACTCAACGATATATATTCATGAATTTACTTGACGTTGTACTTAGGACCTTCAAGTCTTGAGGTTCGTATTATACCGTCAGAGATTACATCACAATATATTAGTTTTCATCCTTAATGTCAGATGGTTGATGGTGTAGCACGATAGCTATCCAACAGGATTGTTAATAACTTTCATTCTTGATATGATTAATTTCCACAGATCAAAGGTTCTTACTGAGACTTCTGTGTCGTTTTTCCCAAACTGGTCGCTTGTGATTGCATGGTTAATATCTAAATGGAAGCCTTTTTGAGTTTAACTGAATTTGAAGATATTTTTCACCACAAACCGATGTACATGTATGCATTTATCATACTAACCATTGGATGTCATGATCTGAGGTGCATGGTTGATATCTTAAATATCAATCTTTTTTTGTGTCTCAGTTTGTTCCATTATGTAATATGTCGTACTGTTAGCGTACAATCTGACACTGAAATGCTCCATCTCTTATTTCATTCCTAAGTATTTATACAAATTCGGTATAACCATTTAGAGCTAACTGCATGTTTAATAAACAGATTATATTCAATTCGATGTTTCTTCAATTAAGAAGTAATGCTATTTACAAACTAAACCAGCTAGAAAATTATCGAAAAACAAAAATCATTAGACAACTGTTTTCTTCTAATGAAGAATGTAAACTATTGGTCTTTCATAAAGACTATTCTCATTCATTACTAGTCTTTTGCAAAATAACACAAGACTTTTCTGAACTAGCTAGTATGCTCTAAACAAAACACACACGTGTCTATTATCTTTATTATAACGAAAATAACCATATGACCGTTAAGATGTTTGTAAATTCTAGTTAGCCAATTAGTTTTCCTGCTAATTGGTTCAAGCACTATTTTACGAATCTAATATGTTTAAGTTCTAACCTGATCATAAAATGATGTCTCCCTGAAAATTTAGTTTATAGATTTTAGTGTAAATAAATTATCTAATAATTGTTCAGATGTCTAGTAATTATGTTTCAGAACAATAACAATAGCGTTCAATTTATAGTGAATCAACGGAATACACCCATTGAGACATTAAATAAGAAAGTTCGGTTCAGTCGAAAAGAGAACTCTCCACTGAACCAAACCTTCTTATTTATATTTAATCGACTAGTAATAAATTATTAGTCGTTTTCAGAATTTTTATTGAGATTTTTTTTTCAAATACATACTTATTTTTCTAACAAGATTTAATCAACTAGTGCTTTTGTATTCATTCTCTTAAATCTTTCTAGATCGGTTCTCAAGTAAGACGTGCAGAATTAGTGTTTAATTACCTTAGAGATCAAAGAGATATTATTGTTTCTACTCTAGAGAAATATTCTTATGCTGATACTAATTCGTGGTCTGGTAACTCAACAACAGACTACAACACAAATAAATATGGATCAGATAACTTAAACTTTTCCAAATCATCTCAATTCTTTCCAAATAAACGTTATATCAAAATCCCAGAAGGTGGTAATTCTGATAAGGATACTAATTTTGGTAATTCTGCAATGGATCAAGAATGCAGTGAATCTAAGTTACCGAATGCGTCAAGTACAAATCAATCAATCAATGAAAATATATCTGCAAATAACTCTTATAATAATTTTGATGATTTTCATGATAAGATAAATGATGTAACTGCAATGAATCCACTTGAGAAATTAGTTCAAATATCATCTTTATGCGCTGAACTAAAAAGCATACTTGATTCAGTTTGTAAAACAGGTCATGTGAACGTTAAAGTAAGTGAATTTTTAGCTTCTGCAAGCTTATCTTGATTGTTAGTTCAACCCGGGTTTTTGAAATGATGCGTACAAAATTGAATCAATATAACAAGTATCCAGACTTACAAAGATGAGGTATAGGACGATTTGCCAACGTCTACGAATATATATTCCGTAATATAGACTTTTAGTTAGTAAATAAATATTTCATATACTTCTAGACATTAATCGTCTGGTTTCTTAATTACGGTATTTTTTTATTTGAACTCATAAATATTGGTACAAAGGGGCACCAGATATATATGTGCCACACAAATCTCATTTGATTTATGTGAGGGCTGTGATACTGCCCAGGTGCCCAAACTGAAACAGGTGGTTTTCTTAGGGGACCACACTCGGAGCCTTTGACCTAAAGGTCTGATCCACAAGGCAGTGGAACAAAGTCAGTAGATGCATTCTCATGGTGGCCTGTGACCAACGATTGATTCATACGCCATTTGTTCCCTCAGGATACTGGAGTCCATGTGCACCATTGGTTTGGAATCAGGGTTTTCCAACTTCCGTGGTTGAACTTTCCGTGTCCACCAACCCGGTTAAAGTGATGGACATCCGTTTTTCGTCCTCTCAGTTTCGTAAACAACAATAATGCCACGAGAAGGCAGTGAGTAGGACCTCCCTGGAAGAGGCGGTAAATTATGAATATAACTGTTGTTCACACAAACGTCAAGAAAACAAATACATTTGACAAAGAATGTATTGTATCATTCTTATTATAAAAATGTGAACAAAGTTTATTCTCTTTCAAAAAGTAAAAATGTGAAAATATACTGTTTCTATCCTTTAATGTTTTATTCTACACTATTTTGGCCGAAATTAAAACAAACAAACATAGATGATAGTGTAAATTTTTTGAAAGCCGAAATGTGTGTTGTTAAAGTGAGGTGAAGAAATGAAGATATAGAATCTCGAGAAGATAATTTCCAGTGAACTATTTCCTACATTTTTAATAAACATTTACTAAACAGTTAATTTATAGTACACTTCTAGTTCTATCTTTTGATATTCAAGGATTACAGTAAATTAACTTCAAATGAATTGCTCAACTTGTATTTAAAAAATACCCTGGTTATATACTTATTGAAATTTATTATGATCTTGTATTTTATCGATATAATCACATAAGTCATTATTCTGAATAGTAAAATGTACTTACGATTATTTATCAGGGTTTTGGTTGTCGCAAACCAAAGGTTTGGGAACAGAAATTTATGTGACCTATCAGTTTTTTGTAAGGAATACAGTAATGGAGTTGATGGACTTATTATTAACTCTGTAAACAGAACACAGCATTCGTTCTATTGCCATGTGATCAAAAGTTTATTTGCCAATTGATTGTTCCAATCAACATACTTGGATATCTAGTGTATTGAGGATTTTTTGATTTCAATAGATTGCATATTTATGATTTCGATGTCTATTGTTGCGTATTTCAGATCATGAGATGTTGTTTTCTGTGGTCTCATTTACTAGTTTACTGTTTCCATTTTGACTTTCCATGTTAACTTATTGTTTAATAGCTACTTAACGTTAACAATTATAATTGTAATATATATATAAACCCATAATCACGAATTCTAACAAAACGAGTCGAATAAATATTCTGAGATGTTAGTTTGTAGTTTTCAGTTTGGGGTTGTGAAGATTGTTGAGTTTCATTAAAATCATGAACCGATCAATGTTAGGTTGATGGCTCGCGCGACACTGTATTTGTTGAAGTTGGACATCAACACCGTTGGTGATCTATAGGTTAATCGTTCGCACGCGAGACCGTAGATCTTGGGCTCGAATCCCATGTGCAAACTCGTGGATGCGCGCTGCTGAAGAGTCCCACACTAGGACAAAACAGCAGTCCAATGCTTTCATGTTTTCTGTGGTGGTCTAAAATTGACTGGTTCATGATTTCAATGAATTTACCGTATTACTTCATTAGTAAATTATCCAGATCTATATTTAACGGAAATTTCAGATAATCTTATCATTACGATTGATATGATTTTTAAGGGATACTATTGTCTGTCTTTATTTCTACCCCGTAAAATAGATAAACAAAATTTATCCAGTCTGTTTTTGTCTACCGCACAAAGCTTATTGTTTAAACAATACTGATGGGATTTCTAAGTGTGTGGTTGCTGTTCGACCAATGGCTATTTGGAATGCAATGGATAAAATACGCCCATATCATGCTTTAATATTACTACTGCGTAAAAGTGATTTACTGAGAGATTATCTTCCAACTGACGTTAATCCAACACTGAAAGAGTATGTCGTTTTTGTAATATATAATTGATACATTGACTGATAAACATTATGTCACTTATATTTGTGGTGTAACTTTCATCCTAAATTTAGGTGGTTTTGTGGAGGATTCTGTATAATTTGGATGCGATTTTTACCGTCACCTGACATCGATTAAGAAACTTAGGAACCATAAAGTCCTGGATAACTATTGTCCTCATTTAAGATCACTTATTTGCGTGCATTCATGACTCGATGCGAAATTAAGCTCCGAGTTTCCACATGTTATGGTGAATACAAACTATTCAGGCACTTCGAAAAATAGTTGTCCACATTATCGACTTCACTCAATTTACAGTATAACACCATCCTTATCCCACCTAACTTGTGAAAAATGAATATAACTCCCGAATGTATAACTGGAAAATTGTGATCAACACTTAATATAATGCTTTTAATTTCTAGTATCTAGACACCAAAATGATATTTTCGAAAAATCATTTGTTTTCTGGTAATGATGAAGTACAATCCATTTTTAAAAAATAACTCTTAATTTGTTATACTATGATACGTACTTTGTTGATTCATAGTCTAGCCTATTTTAATATAGTATGTTAACATAAATAGGAGTGGAATAAGAGAAATCTATATACATTTGTCTGTAGATGTCATAGCAGTTCATTTAGTATATAACTGTTGCCTGAACTTGTAAACAAACTGACTTTGTGGTATTAACATAGGTGCTTCTATTCATAGTCCTTAATAAACACTCATTACTTTATTCTATTTCTGTACGTCACCTTTCTATATTTTTCCAACCCTTTTAATAGGTCTTGTTATCTTTTTTTCCTATTCTTTACGGTTCATTGTGTCTCTTTTCACTCTTTTATAGTTACCCGAAATGCAGCAACATAGATTAAATATCTTTTTAATTACATTAAATATTTCCAATAAAAAGTCCCTATTACGTCATTAAGTAAAATAAATACGGTTCAATGATGAAAATTTCTTGTTAGTTGATTGGAAGAAGTCTACAGGAAACCGTTGGCCCAGGTTTTGTGCTATTTGTCTCCTGTCAACAGAAGTACATCTATAATCATAACAGAAATCGTGCTTCCTGAAGGATTCGATGCCATACCATTCAGCTTCATGGTCTGAGTTATTGCCATTACACTATTTAGACCTGGACTAACCTACTATAGGACTGAGGTATTTACAATCAATTGATTACTGAGTAATAACCAATATCATGTCCATCTAGTCCTTCACAGTCCATGCGATGTTGGGTCACGTAGACTAATGGTCACTTTGGCAGTCAGTCAGTCTTCTGCAACGTAGGACCACGCACTTATATGCATCAGCCCAAGTTGCCACATCTCATTAGCACAAGATAAACACCAAAATCATAGAAGTTATTACTTCGATGGTAGTAATATATAAAAGAAAGATTGTATGTAAGGATATAGTACAGGAAAAAGGATATGAAGCAATTTTAATCTCATAGTTTAAGGGAAGACAGGGAGTGTTTACACCTACGCCATTGTGATCGATTCTGAGCCATGCCACCCACAGTCTTCAACCATTGGTTACGATAGTCACGCGGACCCCAACCAGGTAGTCTGCATCTACCAACATGGCTCAGACTAGAAGTTAGTGACTTCAAGCACTGATGCCAAGTTTTGGTTTGGCCGCCCCTAACTCTCTTCCAACCATCCCCAATACTGGTGAGCATTGCGAGTCGTGGTAATCGGTGTTGAGGCATACGTAACACGTGACCCAACCATCTCAGTCGATAAAGATTCACAACCTCATCAACTGATTTACCATCATTTCCTAATACCCTGCGTCCAACCTCACTATTACTTACCCGGTGATCCCAGCAGATGCTGGCAATATTTCTCAAACATATGTGTCCAAATACTAATAATTTACGAGTATCTTCTATTCTTAATGGCCACGCTTCTCGGTCATAAAGTAGGACAGAACGAACTGCTGCACTCTGTAACTTGAATAATAGAATTATATCAACACTCTAAATAGTTAAGCAAAGATACCATACTCAGCATTCGGTCAATTATTGTGGGATTTTCTTTTTAACGATGTTTATTAAAGCTTCACAATCGTATTTGTGATTATTTTACACGTAGTAATGTATATTGAAACAAAATCGTGCCATTCGCAAAATGGACAAAAATTGATCAAAAAATGTTTCTAGGGCTAAGTAGTAGTCAAATGGTAATAGCAATAAAAATGACGTATTGAAGAGATGTGTGAAAAATAATTGTCCACTTGATGAATATAAGAAAGGGACAACGTATAAAATAACTGTCGAAAAAATTGTACAGCTTTAGTAAATGACATCATCTAACAATAATTTACCTTACTGAATTGTATTTTACTGAAATCTTTCCACTTAACCTTCAAATACATTTCGGACGTAAAAAAGAAAACATTTTCTTATCGAACCCTCATCTTGGTTCTACATCAATATCTTGACTTAAGTTTAGACATAAAACTCATATCAGTTCGATGGTTGTTAGTAAATGAGCACTATCCATATAGATTTATTGTTACTTATTGAAATAATTGGGTGTATCATAAAAGGAATCCAAAAATGAGTCAGTCGGATGATTACTAAAATTGTATACGTGGCCAGTTATTGAAGTAAATATCTGTTTGTCTAAATAAATGGGTGGTCAGGGTGAAGAAACATTTTGATTACAAAGATTAAGTTTATTTGTATGGATTCCTTTTACTTTCTTACGATCTTAAAGCATAGATTACGTTAGACGAGTTTTGTCAGATAATGTTTTTAAAGAAAATCATCTTTATGTCAGTTTGGTGATTATTGTTCATTAAACCTATGAGAATGTATCCATTTATCTTCATCCTCTGTTCTCTATTCATTCATGATGGATTTTTAGAAATGCATTGATAAACTTATCTAATCGTATGCTAAATACAAGTGTATTATATAGGATCAGTCGACTTTGTCACGTCCAAAATTCATTTTCTCTACTATTTTATGTGTAAATATTTTATCAGTATATAATGCGCAGCGGACTAAGGTGAATGATCTCATTAGTCGTTTTGTGAATCTTATCTCCTTTCGTGGTTATTTTTAAACTGACTATTAATTAATAGTCATACTGTTTTTTTTTGTGGTTAAATACTTAATACATAAATAAACAGAATCACTTAAACTATTTTAGTCACTTTAACATTCTGTAAAATACGCTTGACAGTTATGATACAATCTAATCTTATTTCTAACAAATCTCTGTTTACATTTTATTATTGCACTTTTTTATTATTTAAACACATAAATATTGGTACAAAGGGCAGTATCACAGCCCTCACACAAATCGAATGAGATTTTTGAGGCGCATATTTATCTGGTGCTTCCTTGTACCAATATTTATTTGTTTAAATAAATAAATAAATAAATGGTACAAAGGGGCACCAGATATATATGCGCCTTACAAATCTCATTTGATTTGTGTGAGGGCTGTGATACTGCCCAGTTGCCCAAACTGAAGCAGGTGGAAGCATCATCTGTAACGCCATTTTGACTTAGGTTTAATTTTTGGGTTAAAATTTCTATAATACGAACCCGGAACTGTTCGAAACGTTTTTTTTGACGCTCCAGCAAGGCTTCAATTTGTTCGAAGGTAAATGACATCTTGATAAGCTAACCCCGTCGCCAGTGATAAGTCTTGTCGATTGTACGCTATATTCTTTCCTAAGCTATTCTGGTAACCCACAGGTTCGTATTATAGAGACTGTAACCCAAAAATTAAACCTAAGTCAAAATGGTGTTACAGATGATGCTTCCAAATCAAATGTCCACCATATTATTGATTCTATCCATGAATTTAATTTCGCTGGTTCGGCTGGTATTACTTTTGAAAGCCGGTTCAAGAAATACGAAGATTTATTCAAGGTCGACCCCAGAAGACTTGATGATGCCGCCAAGGTCAGAATACTTTTAAGAAAACTTGGCACAGTTGAACATGGACGCTACAGTAATTTCATCCTTCCAAAGAACCGAAGAGACTTTTCTTTTGATGAAACAATTGAGATTTTGTCACAAATCTTTGCTGAACAGTCATCCTTATTCAATATTTCGTTATCAATGTCTGAAGATAACAAAAGCAGCTGATGATGACTAAGTGAAGCATGCAGGTTTAGTAAATCGTGAGTGTGGACGCTTCAAATTATCAACAATGACAGAAGATCAGTTTAAGTGTCTCGTATTCGTGTGTAGCCTACAATCTTCCGAAGATGCTTATATCAGAACCAGAATTTTGAGTAAAATTGAACAGTGTCCGAACATAACACTACATGAAGTTACTACAGAGTGCCAAAGACTGATAAACTTGAAACATGATACTTACATGGTTGAAAATAATAACCATTTGCCACATGTTCATGCTGTAAGCGAAAAGAAATAATTCTACCCAAGAAAAGTATCGCTCACAGGCGACCAACCCCCATCTTCATGCTGGTCATGTGGAGGTTGGCACTATCAAAGGTTCTGCCCGTATAAAGAACATCGTTGCAGAAAATGTCATCGAAAGGGGCATAAAGAAACAAACTGAAGTAGAAGAACCCATAAACGAATTCGTCGAAATTATACTTCAAGAAATACAGGTCTGGCACATTAACGAAAAGAATATTGGTATCACATAACAAAGTACGAAGTTGCCGCCAAAGAAAGTACGTAACCTTGGATATTAATAAACACCGTACTCGACTTCAACTTGATACATCTTCTGATATTACACTAATCAGCCCAGAAACATGGAAGAACATTGGAAGACCCACAGTTTTCTCAACAACACAACTGGCACACAGTGCATCTGGGGGGAAGTTAAATATTGTTGGAGAATTGCCATGCACTGTTTCTAAAGGTACTGTAACAACAAATGCAACAGTATATCTAATAGGAAGTTAGAGCCTTTTTTATTTACCCCGTCTCCAGTGATAAGTCTTTTCGATTGTACGCTATATTCGTTTCCTAA